TATGATTTTGTTAAATATATTTTCTGTGCTTTTGAGTTGAACTTCTTCTCCTTCTTCTATACCTATTATTCTTAGGTTTGGTCTTTTCATGGTGTCTCATATTTCCTGGATATTTTATGTTAAGTTTTTGTTAGATTTAATGTTTTCTTTGACAGATGAGTCTATTTCCTCTATTGTATCTTCAGCATTTGAGATTCTCTCTTCCATCTCTTGTATTCTGCTGTTTATGCTTGCATTTGTGGTTCCTGATAGTTTTCTCATAAGTTCCATTTCTATAATTCCCTCGACTTGTGTTTTCTTTATTGTCTTTATTTCAGTTTTCAAGTTTTGAATAGTTTTTTTTATTTCCATTGACCACTCTGGGCGCTGGCTATCCACCTGTGGTGCAATTTTTTTCTCACAGGTTCTTCACGTTTTCCTCCATATGTCTGGTCACTCTTACATGTTTTTCATGATTCACTGGTCAGCCCCACATTGTGGCACCATTTATTGGGGGCCACCCTCGACAAAAATACCTTCCTCTAGAGTAGAGGTGTGGAAATTTAGAAATAATAGTAAAGAATATGAAGATGTGAATGAAAATAATAAAATGCAGAAATATACAAGATAGTATTGGGAGGGAATTTTTCAGTAACTACCAAAAATTCCAGAATTGATTTCTTAAATGTCCTTTCTAGATTATCAGTGTAAATGTATGGGATATAACTGATTTGTTTTATATGCAATATCGCCAAACTTATTTATTAGTTTTAGCCACCTGCTGCTGAATTGCTAGGGACTTTATATAAAATCAATAATCTGTGACTAGAGATAGTTTAATCTCATCCTTTCCATTTTGAAAAGAATGTACTCTTACTAGTTTATAGTTTTCGGTTGAGTTCAACACTTTAAATGAAGTCATATAAATGAAGTAATATAACACATAAGTAAGATGCTTGCTATTGCAAGCATGAGCGCCTGAGTTCAATCCTTACACCCAAGTAAAAAGTTAGGGATTGTTGGCGTACACTTGTAAGTCCAGTGCCGGGTGAGCAGACACAGAGCTCCTGAAGCTCACTGACGAGCCAGGCTAGTCTAATTAACCAATCCAAGGTCTCAGTGAGAGACCCTGCCTCAGAAACCAATGTGGGTAGCACTTAAGAAGCTACACCCAAGACTGACCTGTGACTTCCATGTGCATGTACAATTATGTGTACATGTTCCTACCCATGGACATGCTTTCTCTCTCTCTCTCTCTCTCTCTCTCTCTCTCTCTCTCTCTCTCTCTCTCTCTCGTAAAATTGAGGCAAACACCCTCCACTGCACTGACCTGATCTATAGATGACTGAATTCTTGTGATTGTCTTTATTTTTTTTAACAATGGAAATTCATGCCTTTTAGAGAAAAATTAGCTGTTTACAAAGAGGGACAATAATAAGGGAGGGACGGCACTGAGACAATGAGCAGACAGCATTGCAGTCACTGGGGTTAGTGCTGGCTTTCAGTGTGCTGCCATTTGTTCTCACCCCTCCCCCACCATGCCAGTTTGAGGGAGGATTGGGGGCTAAGTTGGCTTGGCCTATTACAATGATCACTGCAAGGCTAACCCCACAGGCGACCACCATCCAGACGCCTTTATGAGCCCTTACTGGAAATGGCTCTGGCAGTGTCGAAACAGGCTTAATGGTGCCTTCAGAACATTTATTCTGTGTCCTTTCTTCTCTGTTTGCAGCAATGGCTCCATCTAAAATGAGCAATCATACCCATGTCACAGAATTCATCTTCATGGGATTTTCCAACCACCCCAGCCTACAGGGTGTCTTCTTCCTGGTTTTCCTGGCCATTTACTTGACCACTCTACTAGGAAACATGCTTATGATGACGGCCACCAGGGTCAGCCCTGCCCTCCACACCCCAATGTACTATTTCCTCAGCAATTTGAGCTTCTTAGACATCTGCTACACGACCACCACCATTCCGGCCATGCTGGTGAACTTCTTCAGGGAGAAGAAGACCATCTCCTACGAGGGCTGCCTCTCCCAGATCTTCTTCTTTGTGACATGCGCTGGCACGGAGGGTGTTCTTTTGGCTGCCATGGCTTATGACCGCTATGTGGCCATTTGCCGCCCTCTTCAGTATCCGGTTCTCATGAGTGCGAAGGTCTGTGTCTGCTTGGTGGCCG